TGACGTAAAAGTACTATTGGTGAACAATTTATAAATTTTGCCTTTACTCGATGTATCACATGTACAACTTAAACTCCATTTCTGTATGAACTGATCAATGAGTCGTTGCTTAATTATATTCAGCAACCAACTGGTTGCGCTTTGCACAGTATATTTTCTTGTACTAAAAAATGACCCAGTTCTTGAGAAAAACACTCCTAAATATTTAATTTTTTTTTTTTACAATTTCAGTCGCATTATTATTGTAAGTAAATACTATGTTGGAATATTGTCTGCCTTTACCAAAAATCTTCTTCTTTTTGTTTGTTTGTTTTATCAACATTCACATGTAATTTCCATTTTTCAAAATATTTTTGAAAACAATTGACTTGATATTGAAGATCATCCTTAGTTTCAGACATCAAAACAGAATCATCTGCATAAAGCATAATCATAATTCTTAAGTATACATCTAGCTTTTGTTCAATTTCTTCAGACAGACTGTTCAATTCAATAACATTTTTTCTCTATTAAGAATTCTTCTAAGTCATCAAGATACAATGCAAAGAGAAGAGGAGACAAATTTTCGCCCTGGCGAACTCCATTCCGACAGATATTCAGAAAAATCAATTATGGAAGATTCTAGATCTACAATCATTATACATATTAACAATAACTTTAAGGCATTTCCCAGTCATATGATATTTAACAAGTTTTTTTTACACAATCCCACTCGCCATACTTTATCAAATGCAGCCTTGAAATCAATGAAGGCACAATATAATTTCTTTTTCTAAATAATGTCAGTTCTATCAATGAATGAAGAGCATGTTATCAATAATAGAATAATTTGCTCAAAAGCCGCTCTGGTTTTCCTTAATGAGGTCAACATTATCTGCATATGTGGTCATTCTTCTACACAGTACAGACGTTACAAAAACTTTTCCATGACAACTATGTTATAGGACGAAAGTATTGTGGATCGCTATAACTACCTTTTTTCTTATAGGTTGGCTTTATATTTCATTCTAACCATGCCTCGCGGATAATACCTGTATCAAATACTAGATTAAACAATTTTACATACAGTGACACCATAACATCAATAGATAACTTAATGTGCTCATTTATAACAGTATCAGGACCTGCCGATTTACCATTTTTAATTGTCTTCACCATATTCAGAATTTCATCTGGGGTAATGGGGTCATTAATAAAAGAACTACCTTCAAACGACTCCACAATATGTTTGTCTAGTTCATCATCTGAGCCTTCTGAATGGTGATCTTTTTCATTAACATTCTTGAAATAGTTATAAAAATCTACAATATTTATGTTCTGGTGCTCTTTAGGTCCTTTACCATTTACAATATTCCATATTCTTTTGGGTTTGAAAATCTTAGTTTTTTAATATTACGTTCTAATTTAGTTCTATAATCTTTGTATGCTTTATTTGGAGCAGATTTAGATTTTCTTTGAGCGCCTCGTAATTGTTGTTTGGAAATATTTTATCCATATATTTTGTATCTACGATTAGTTTTTCTACAAAATTTCGTTGCTTTGTAACAATCATCGTTAAACCATTGTTTAGTTCTGGTGTGTTTATTTGCATCAAAAGTGTGCGATAAAAATGCACCAGATGTATTTTTATGCGGAGGAAAGCACTAGATTAGGCGTGCTATTTAACAGAAGGTCTACACCGCTATTGCGTGTATTATCAAGGTCTGCTATTTTATTTTCTCCTTCGTTTCACTCCTCCGAAAATAAATATTTTCTTGACTAATTTATTGAAAAACAAAGAAAAAGAATATACTGTAGGATTGTTGCGTTCGTTACAAATCGCATTTTTATTCAAAACATACAATTCAAACTCATAAATTTTACAAAATAAACAATGCAAGGGCTGGGAGGGGGGAAACCAAAGACATAAAACAACCTGCTATTCTTTGTAACGAACGTCGCATCAGTCGAACATTCCCCGGTAAATGTATTTATAGTGAGCGCTAAATCGCTCGTGCATGAAAAAACAGTTTCTTTCGATACGAAATTTCACGGAGAATACCGAAGTAAAAACGTAAAAAAATAAATTTATTGTCTACAGTTTGCTCAATCATGACAAGGAGCAAGCGGCGGGTATGACAAGTCTTCAGGGGATGTTCACTCCTCCATGGCACCTGATCCCATCACTTATGTTTTGGAAGTTTTTGTTTGCTCTGTCCGAATTTAGTATTGTTTAATGAACTTTTGAGCTTGAATACTGTTCGTTATATCCATATGTTTCATGTAGTTATGACGCCCTGTAGACAAGATGAATACTCTAAGAATTTTTTTTTGTAAAATATATCACCAGATCTTTAGTTAAATGGCAGTTTTCTAGGTGAACTCTTTTATTGATCGTTTCCAGGTAGAACAATACATACGGACCGGACAAACACCTATGGTAATAGCGAAAGACGCTATCGCTGTAGACCGTTGGTAGGATTGCCTACTTATGCCCTGTTCACACGGAGAGATTGATTCTCAGAAAATTAATGCGAAGTACACTTATGCGAATCAAAATAATGCGAATTAAATTGCGTTCAAACGACAGCTAAATCGAAAAAAACTAATGCGAATTTCAATTTTATTTCTTCAAAAAAGCTTTTCAGTAAGGCCTTTATGACGTCATTTGTAAATCACGTCATTTATGCTGAGCCATCAATTTGATGTAATAATTTTCCTTTTTTATTTTTTTAAAATCAAAATTACATGTAGCACAGATACCTATATCTAACAACGACATATGCCCTGTTACACATGCGTCAAAATCTAATTCGAATCAGCTTCGCTTAGCGTTAAGGTCAAGATCTAGTAAATGTCTTTATACTAACTTTTTGGTGCTAGATCCATTATGACGTCATAATCACTTTCAACTTTCTTTTTCCCGTACTTTACGGCTCTGATAGAATTATGTAGAAAATTAAGTATTTTCAGGGAATTCAATTTGAAATTACATGAAAAGTAGTCCCGATACCTATATTAAAATTGCCATTAATTTAAAGAAGAGGCCAAGAACATACAAATTACCGTTTTCCGAGAGACTGTAGGCTATCTGGATATATTTTCTTTGTCTGATATGGAAAAAGGTCCCAAAGTCATGACTGGATTTCTTAACTTTTCATTGAAAATGACAGTTTAAAATATGATTTTTCATCTTGTTTATCTACAAATTATGCCCCGAAACACCTTATTTGACCAAGCTGAACTTTTAAAGCATCATTAAAGGAATTTATTTCGCAAATTTGAGAAATCTGTAGGCCCCTTTCATTTACTAGATCTTGACCTTAACACGGAGCTATTAATGCGAATTGATTTAATGTGAAGTAAATTAATTCGAATAAAGTAATTCGCATTAAATTCTCCGTGTGAATGCGATTCAAATTTGATTCGCAGTAACTTACGTTTAATTCGAATTAAACTCTCCGTGTGAATAGGGCATAAGTTAATTGATAGTGAGAATACATAGGTGCTTGAGGACAGGACAGAACCCTCTTTTTGATATAGAGCCATAGGCTTTTTCAACTTTTTTTCTCATAAATTATTTTCTTTCAATGACATATTTGTGATAAAATCTATACCACAATTCGGAAATTAAAATTACCTAAAACAAACGCTTTATAAAATTTACCCTATTCTATATAAAATATATAGAGTTGGTTGTTACAACGCAGTTTGAAAAATTACGCACTTTGAAATAATTTCAAAGTGCATTAATTTTGGGACTTACTCAATGCGTTAAGAGTGTACATAAACATTTTTACCATGGGGACATTTAACGCACTTTGAAAAAAATATATTTGTCCCAATTTTAACGCACTTTGAAAAATTGTTTTCAAAGTGCGTAATTTTTTCAAAGTGCGTTGCCACAGTGGGTATAATTTTTTATAAGCAAATTTTCTGAACTGATTGAATAGATTATATCACAAAGGTGTCATCCATATACAATTTTTGGGAGAAAGTCGAAATGGTCCAGGGGTCTAAAATTTTTATATAAAGCTACTGCTCTACGAAAGTCTAATTTGTAACTACTATTGATATTTACATCCTTTGTGTATTTTTGTATACGATATTTATTCTGTACTCTTTATCATGTTTATATGCTGTATGAAATCTGATGAGCCTTTGGCTTAAAGAATAAAGAAAGAAAGAAATATCACGGGGGTTCCTGTCCTCAAGCATGAGTGGGGTCGAAATTTTATAACATGTTTGTTTAACCAAATTTTCTGAATTTTACTTCATTTATGCATATACATATTTATTTAAAATTTGCTATGCATATCAATGAAAAATGTATATTAAAGAGTAGTGAAAAAAGAACGCACTGATGATTTTCACTCTAGACAACTCGTCCACGAATTTACCCGACAACCCTCCTGAAGCGAAAGTGTTTCTAGGAAATTAACTTAGCATCTTCTACGAGTATGTATTTGTTCATTATGTGTGCATTGATTTAAAAAACTCAGTAAATCTTAAATAACCCATAAGCAGTGTTTGACTTCAATTCAGGAAATGCGTAGTTAAACTTGCACAGAAGCCGGTGTGTGACAGGTAGGAAAAATTATCTGTATCAATTTTCTCTGTATAAATCATTTTATCGGTATTATTATTATTCATATATTAACTGTGTAAATAATTTCATTACTACAAAACAATACCTCGATATTTCATTATGTAGTGTTCTTGAGTTAAGTCTTATACTTTCTGCATACTTACTTTCACCAGGTGTTGTAAATGAGAGCTTTAGCCTCATTTTCTTTGATCTCTTGTGTCAGACCAACTCTGACGATCTACTCTGATGTTGTTATTCATTTTGCTTGGTAATTAACTACATATTTGTTACGCGCATTCTGGTAATGGTTTGCTCGATGGAACATGGTAACTTGAGGGGGACTTACGGTTCCGTAGCGCATAGTAAATCTCTGACACCTTCGTAACTATGATGGATACTGTAATTAGAATAAATACATCTCCAATAATCTTAATTTTCAGTAGCCTCTCCTGCTGGACAGCCGAACAGTCATTTCTGAGGTAAATATAAAAAGAAATCTAGCAAAATATAAAGCCTACGTAAAGTTCACTTTTATAAGAAAAAAATATGGCTTTACAACCTGCACGATATTAAGTTTACTTTGAACAGCACCAAAATTATTGTTTTACATAGATTGTTAAGCCTAAGCCTAAAACAGTTTTGTGTTTGGATCTATTGGATGTCAATTTCCATTTATTGTTTACATGAGTTTTTTTTTTAAGTTGAAGCAGACTTGGTCATCATGCAGTACTCCGAAGTTATTCTCTGTCTTGGGCTCCTCACTATTGGTAAGAATTTAAAAATTTCTTTTAAATGGACATGGATACAGTTTCAGCTAAAAAATCAAATCTTTCTTTCCAATTTTCATGTTTACAAACATTCAAATTAGGTATTTTTTTAATGCTCATCAAAATTTGAATTTTATTTGTCGAGATACAAGACAGATGAAAAGTTCCAAACCTTTGTTATGTAAACAAGGTCCGTGCCATGTTTGTGTTCACATAGGTTAAATATACTAATTTTGGTTCGTTTAAAGCATTTTTTTTTCAATAAAGAATTTTATTCTAAATACGAATTGACAGTTACTGGTGATTTGCTGGATCTCGTTTTGTTATAAATGTGATTTTTTTCTATATGTAAACAAAAACAAAGCACGAGCCTTGTTTAAGTCTATTTCCTTTGTAAATCAACACATGTTGTTCAAATTTTTGCTGATCATTGGAATTGTCTTAGATATTGTAAACATTAAAAATGGTTTTTAAAATCAGTTGAAACTGTGTCCATGCCCTTTTAAATTATGAGACAATAGTTATGCAAACCTAACTACATTCTGCGATTAGAAACGTGCTAAACTTAAAGAATTAAAATGATAAAGCTGACTTGAATATGTCTTAAAACTGATTATATACATTAACATCTGGATATTGTCAAATTCCGGCATTTCAACCTTCGACCATTCATTTTCTGCATAAAACAAAATAGAACTCGATCTACAGGTCATGTCATTTAAAACTGATATGATACATTCATTTATTGAACAGGCATCGTAGATCGATCTATTCAACAGTGATTTATACATTGTAAACATTTTTACATACATTTGGATATATGCACTATAAATGACTGGCAGATTTGTGTTTTCAATTCATGAGTGTGTCAAAGAAAATGTACAACTATTTACTATTACTAAAAAAATTAGGGACAGGGCGGGTTACAAAGTGTGACTTAACCATCTTTAAAATAATGTTTGTTAGCCATCTCCCGACTCATGGTCTTTTTCCAGAAAATTTCAACATATTTGTTAACAGGATCTGAGGATAAAAAGAAATAAATATCGTTTCCGGGAATGTAAAATAGTTTGAGTCGGGCCATTTTATGGCAGACGGTCGAGAGAGGGCAACCAAATAAATTTAAAAAAAAAACAACTAGTTATACAAATTACTTCTATTTACAGTACATTAATTGTTATTTGAAAATACTTAGTATGCATATTATTATGTTTGAAATTTAACGAAAGTGATCTAAATACTTATTGATCAGAATTCATATACAGTATGAAAAGTTGGATTGTTTTAAGAGAAAATGTCTGAGTTATCACAAGCAGTTTACAGTACTTAGATCAAATGTTCTGAACTTGAGCGATGCTAATTGAATGGTAAGTTTCCTCCACATATTTACTTAATGTTGCAATTAGATAACCACCTTCTATGTCTCAGTATTTCTTTATATCAATTCAGGAATAAACTTTGCCCTAGCTGCCCTTGGTGGAGGGACCTGCACCATACCCACGTCCGGTAACCCAGGGGCCTCGACTGTTTGTACGGGAACCGCAAACGGATTCTGTTTGATTGATACTTTCACCACTGCGGGTGCTCCTCAACTCACTTCTGCTACCACTACTGGAGTATGTGTTTGTTATTATGGATACACTGGTACAAATTGTCAAAGTGAGTGTTTTTAACTTCATAGAACATTTTGATTTTAAGTCCATTACAACATAAAAACAGCATTCCTGTCAATATATATATCATTTTATTCGCTTTTAACTTCACCTGCACTATTCGTAAATAATTCATTTACAATTTATCATTGAGACAAATGCTGACTGACGTTTTTCATACTAATTTTTTGTCCATTATTTATACACTGAATTGACGACGGATTTTTCCGTTATTTCCCGATCATGAGGAGGATCACACAGCAGGGTGTGTCGGCAGAAGATGTAAACTCCTCCATGACACACGATCCCACCTCTGATGTTTTGGAGGTCCGTATTTGCTCTGCTCGTATTTTGTTTTGTTTTATGGACTTTGATATTGGGGACCAGGCAAAATTTATCACAATGATGGGACCAGTACCAAACAAAATCTTCATTTCAAAAAAGTACGTGTCCCATGGCTTTGGTATTTAAAAAGAATATCTGTCCCATGCCTTGAGACTTATAAAAAAGTTACATGTACTGTCCCATGGTTACATCTTGGTGTTAGTGAGATAATTGGAACAAAACTAAGGAGTCTCTCAGACTACAGATATTTCAAGCATCGAGAAGTATGTTTGTTTTTTGTTTTTTGTTTTTTTGTTTTGGGTTATTTTTTTTGTTCATTTTCATCTGTTGTAATATTTTCCATTAAAAGATTTATATTGCCATTTTTATCCTTCACTTCAGTTTCAAAGATATGATTTTCCCCCCGAATTTTTAACAAAAAATAAAATGAATATTTCTCTGGGGTTAAGTACTGTAAGTTATTGAAAAAAGTTTGTGTCCCATGGGTACTTAATGCTAAAATTGTTTAAGTCCCATGGTTTTCTTCAATGAAAAAACTCATTGTCCCATGCCCATTTGTACCGGTCCCATCATTATGATAAATTTTGCCTGGTCCCTTGAAAACTGTTCGTTATCTCTATATCCTTCTCAATACATACACGTACAGTAAACAGTAAGGGTACAATGAATTTTGTATGTTATTGTTTGTCTTCACGTACTTTTTTTACATTTCGTAAACTTCAGGACAGCCATAAACCAGAAGATTTCCGTATGATCAGTTTTACTTGAAAGAGTGAAATTGTGTCTACTGTTCATTTTAATGAAATTATTGTGTTTTTGTAGCTGTTGACTCTACGGCTACAACGACTTCTTCCTCTGGAGCTGGTAACGCCATTGCAGCACTGGGACTAGGGCTCGCCGCAGCCTGGGCACTCAGTCAGGGCCTGGGATCAGGGGCTGGGGCTTCATCAGGCTCATTTTTGGGCAAATAAAAGGAGAAATACGTTGTGTGGATGTGACAAGGATTGATATGTAATCCAAATGATTTGTTAAGATGAAAATAAATTTATTGATGTCTACAAAGACATATTGAAAAAAGGGTGTTTTTACTTCTCATGTGTGTCAATGTAAAAACTGAATAGCTTTTCTAAACATAAACATTATAAACAAAAGTTTTGTTATGACCTTTATTTAAACAAACCACAGTTATGAATGTGAATACTGTACCTGTAGGTCATTTAGGAAACCCGCTCTTCAATAATTTTTTAATTAAAAAGGTCAATGAATTTTGAAAATAAAATTCTTCGTGCAACAATTTTTGTTTTTTACATGATTCAAGTTTTTTCTTGAAGTATGAGAACTTTGGTACCCATATTTAAAGAACTCGAATTTCCTTTAACCAGCATTAGATGCCAATGCTTATTATCATAATATTAAATTAGACATGCCTCGCGATGATAACACAAGATTTTACTAAATTTATTATATAACAATTGAAGTAAACAGAAGAAATAAAATGCTGTGCAAGTATAAGGATGAAAAGAAGCAATTTTCTCACAAAGCTTGAATGCCTTTTTTCTATTCTGAAATATATAAGTTGTTTAATTTTCAAGTAGAAAATGCAAAGTTGGTGACTGATTTGCGTTTCTGGAAAAAAACATAATTTTTCCTATATATTATGATTGACTACAATGATAGACTTTGAAGAAATACCATGGGTAAATTCACGTAACTTGGTAAAAAAAAATGAGGTATTCTCATGATCATTTTAAACTACTTGTAAGCTGATTTTTACAACCTGAAGATCGGACTTCCTTAAAACATTAATTGATTACAAAAAGGAATATAAGTTTAAATTAGAAATTTTATTAACATTAGATATATTTGAAATAAGAAGTAGTTATCTTATTGAGTTTGTTCTTCTTAAATTAGTATATCTGATATTACTTTATAAGGATATCAATAAAATTTGCATATGTTTATTTTCAACAAAAATGTTTGTACGAATATAAATCATAATAATTTTATAGTTATTGTGATTTGAATTCAAGACACGTGGTTTAGGTTTACCTATTCAAAGGTTATAGGGTAGATCCGGTTTTATAAATAAAATTGGCAGTAAACAGGAAATTGCTATAGTCTGTTTCTTCTGAAAACATGTCCTGTGAAAAATGTGTTTCCACACCTTTCTGAAAGACTTTAATGATTTTCAACAGAAATGGGTGGCTTATGAGGGTGGGGGTAAATAACAATTAATATATCTTATAGTTAACTGCAAAAATTGCAGCTCACTAGCGACCGATACGCTGATAAAAATGTGTAATATCATCTACACTGACAAACCTTTGTTTGCCTTATATGGCTATTCAGAATCAGAATCAGAATCAGAATCAGTTTATTCTCTCAAACCATACAACATGGTACATGAGGAAAACATAAAGTATATACAATGTCTATAAAGTCGTCAGAGGTACATTTAGTATATATACACACATATAAATATATATATATATATATATATATATATATATATATATATAAAGCACATTTTACAACAACTCTTAAACTAACATAACTGCCCTAAGTGAAGAAATATTAATATAGAAAGCACAAAGAAATTCACTTTTATATGGATACCCACTTCCGCCCCAGCCCGGGGTTGAACTCTCAACCTTCGGAATCTGTCTCCTAGCAGTGCAGGAACAGCGCGCTAGACCGCTCGGCTATCTAGGCAAGTCATAAAACTTGCTTTCGATGCCGATTGAATTCTCGCGGCGCTGTCCTACACTACACGGTCATTGAGAATAGAAGTGAGATACAGTTATTTGGATATTAGTTTTAACAGAGGATTGTTACCAATACATGTTGTAATGAAATTAATTATTATTTATAAAGCACATTTTACAACAACTCTTAAACTAACATAACTGCCCTAAGTGAAGAAATATTAATATAGAAAGCACAAAGAAATTCACTTTTATATGGATACCCACTTATATATATATATATATATATATATATATATATATATATATATATATATATATATATATATATATATATATATATATATATAAGTAAATGTTTTACAACTGCATGTAGAGAGGATGTACATATAGTACATGTAATAATAAAGTATATGCAAAAAGAAAACACCGGGAGGACAGCTAAGAAGGACAGACAGTCTCAAATATTTTTGAAATAAATGTACATAGTTTTTGTAAGGATTGTATATTTGAATTCGCCATGAGTTCATAAAACTTGACAATATTTGGTCTGGTGCAGTAACTTTTGTGTAAAAAAATTTTTCTTATCTCTGAAAAAGCTGTACACTCTAAAATGTAGTGGTATTCATCACCTATCTATTGCTATTAACGCGCACAGAGGATCTTACCACGAGCAACTGACCAATTGTTAAAAATTGTTAAAAATTGATTGAATACGTTTACGCCAAATACATGTTTACATGTTACTTCGAACACGTTGGTTCAGGTCAATCTATGATCAAGTCAATGGAGTGCAAAATAAAAAAAAAATGTTCTTATGAACAAAATGCAAACATTAGAAACTAAGAAAAATATCATGGGCGTTTTTAATTTGTTGTTAACTAGAGAAAAATATTTTTAATAAAATGTATACGTAGTTAGTGTCAAGTTCAGAACACCAGCACTTCAAGGGTAAGGAAAACGAGCAGCTTCTCGTATGCATTTAAATGGACAAAGCATTTTTTACATAACTATACTCGTGATCACGTATGTTGGCCAGGGAATCCACCTGGCAATTGTATTCAACGATAGTACAATAAAGGAATTTATCAAGCGTAAAATTCCTGTAGTATTCGTATAGTAACCCATTATGCAATTCTCATTCATCTGATTTGTCAGTTAAAGTCACATTGGTGCCTCATTTGCTAATCTGACGCCAAAAAATATAGTCCTGGTTCCCATGCAAAATATTTGTCAAAAAAGAAATTTTAATTCATGACAGCAGAAAACTGTATCATAGATAATACTTAAAAATAATTTAAACTTGAATGAATTCAAGAAAGATCGATTGAAGTACATTTCTACAGAATGATATTATTGGGTGGTGAAAACTAAAACGCAATATAACTTTTCTGTTTACTATGTCTCCACGTGCTAGTCACTTCCTAGCCACATTTCCGTGAATAATTTACCCTATATCGCTGAAGTCTCGCTAACTCCCACCAGAGCCAATGTCAGAGCTACTCTGAACTCATCGGGTTTTATAATTTGCAGAACACCAAAAAGTAAAAGATTCCGAACACATTAGTATGAGTGACATATGAAGTTTTTCCCCTTGGAATACAAATTTGTGAAGTCTGACGTTTTTCATACTACACGTAATTGTTAAACCATACTCTATATAAAAATACACTACCAGGGATGGGTGAAACATCTTTTTTTAATAACCCAACATTCCAAGGGAAATAAACCTGGTCGAGAGGAACTGGTATCTGATTTCATCTCAAAGTTCTTGAAACTTCAAATTTTTGGACGGGTTTGATTGACGTATCCTTGCACTTTCACAAATATTAATTTTATTCTTAATACTTAGGAAAAGTGGCAAAAATTTAAAGTTTCAATAACTTTTAGATGAAATCAGTTTTTAAATATATTTTTTGTGAAATGCTATTACAACATATAAGTCGTGATATTATACAGAAAATTTGAACTTCAAATCTGTGTCTATGCACATTTATCGTCATTTTCTGCCAAAACTACTTAGAACTCCTTGTTGGTTTTAAAAAAATGCAAAACTGCGAAGAATAAAAGGTTCCGCACGTATGAGTAGGGGGTGAACGTTGAACGCAATCTGTTATAACAACAGAAACGATTCATAACAATCACTGACTAATTTTTAAAATAGTAATTTTGTAAAGACATGTATAATGCTTGTTAATTTTTTACGGAAAGAAAAAAATTAGTTATAAAATCCAGAGCAATTTCTCATTTAAAAAGCAATGCATGTACAAAATAAAAATTTTCATAAATGAGTTATTATTTGAAAAAAAAAATTTCAACCTTTCAATTTCAACAAAAAATTCATAATGAAAAAAAGTAACATACACATAAAGTCTTGACTTTGTTAATAATTCAATAATTCAAAAAATTATACTACACCAAAACATTCAAGGAAGTTTAGTCCATTTCCTCTCTCTTTATAAATATAAAAGTTATGCCCCCTTTTGTATGTTTTTTAGCGAGACGTATTTTTGTGAAAGGAAGAAAACACATGCCGTGGCCTTTAACTCGACAGAAAGGTAAGTCGACGATTGTCAGTCACTAGTAATAAAAGTTTACTGTGAAATCACCTATTTTCGCTGGGTTTTATTTTCGTGGTTTCCAAGGTACCACACAGTCTGACACATCAGTTTCAGTAGCTCTGCCAAGATTTAGTGAGACTACGGCGAGTTAAGGTGTATTATTTACGGAAGTGTGGCGAGGAAGTTACTATCACGTGGAGACATGGAAAACAGAAAAGTCATTCTGTGTATCAGTCTTCGTGCATCACCCTTTTATATTTGTAGAAATGTACTTCAATCTCTTGAATTCATCCTCATTATATAAGCATAATTTCATATTTGCGAGACATTATTTTCCGTTGTCATGTATTAAGTTTCTTTTTGGTCAAACATGCATGCATGGGAACTTGGATTTTATTTATTGGCGTCAGATTAGCAAATGAGGTATAGTAGGTGTACCAACATGGTTTTCACTGACAAATCAGCTGAATGAGATCAAGTTCTGTATTGTGGATTACTACGGATAATACAAGAATTTTAAATATAAACTAGAGGTACTATGAGCAGTGAGCTCACTAAATGATTCCCCTGCCTCCCATATGATTATAATAGCAGTGTCTATATTTTGCTAAGGGAAACCCAAAATAAGTGTCGGATCAAAAAGTAAATTAGGAGACGCACAAAAACATAATGTAATAAAGATTCTGAGCAAGTCTCATAAAATTCATTCCATAGAAAAGTTATGGATAAG